TTCGGGTATGTCTGTGCCCCGGAAAGTGAATAAAACGGGGCGACGGTTGAAACCTTGACACGCTTGCAAGCACGGCTGACAAGGTCCCTCTCTCTTCCGTATAATACATACTATACATACAAAAAGTGTTTTTAATAAGAAAGAAGAAGAGAAATTCGCACAAAGAGGTAACCGAGATCGATCGAGGGGCGGATCTCGCTTGTTTTTCTAACGCGGACCTTTCTCAGCCTTCGGAAAGGCTTATTTGCAAATTCTACATCTGCCATGCAAAGCTCGCTCGCGCGCGCGCGCGACATACGATGTACTGACGATAAAAGTTGAAGCGACTGCAAACCCAATATCAGATGTCCGAAAGTTCATTTCAAATTTCATTCTTTCATTGTCAAAATTCATTCTTTATTTCTTTCAAAAGAAGCCCGTGATACAGCCGTGAATATCAGAGTTAACGTTTAATACAACGAACGAAGATTTACTTGAAATTTTCTGTGAAAAATATAGTCGAGGGACATCCCATGCGCGATATCGCGGTCAGTTCCACTTCGAAGCAAAGTCGAACTCGCGAGAGAAGGATACGTCTTCGTCCCTTTCTTCATCGTGGCGTTAATAATCACTTGTTGTTGGGGCCGCACGAGACTAATGGCAGTCGTTGCGCGGAAACCGCCGTCACAATGCGGATTATTCACGGGCCCAAGACAAGAAAGACGGTAGCCATTAACGGTTCCGATGCGCCCCTCGTCTCGGCATGCAAACGAGGAAAACGAGAAACAGCTCGAAAAGCAACACGAGTTCTCGACGCAATCCCAATATTTGTACGCGTAATTTATCAGCATCTCCGCTGCGGTAGAAATAGAGACGCTAACTTGCGACGGGGTTCCCGGAAAGGAATCGCTTGCGAGCCGCAACCTTCAGACTTCAAGACTGACAGAAAGGAGAAGAAACCGCAAGGAGCACGCGTATCGCCCTCAAGTAAACGCTCGACAATTCGCCCTCAAGTAAATGCTGTTGTTCTGAAAAGGGGATGACTGTAAAAGGGGAATTCGTAACATCCATCGAGAGACCGATAACGAGAGTACTTATCCTCTTGGTACCCCCGAGATAGCCACTCAGGCAGACATCAGCAACGTTCCCTACGCAGACGCAGGAAAAATAACGGCCGCCGGCGTATCGAGTGCAAGAAGAACTACGAATTTCTACCCCGGAGAAGATCCTCGGGGGCCGTTCAGAAGAGCGGGGGACAGGAGGCAGGTGGGTTTTCTCTCTCATACCTGATCCCTTTTCAAGACTGCGGCATACACATGCGCCAAATATACGTATATATACGCGTACACACGCATGCACTCCGGCGCGTATGCCGCGATCGGTCCCCGAAAACGCTCTATTCATCGTCTCCCTTTACTCTCCGGGCCTCCCCCTACCTCTATTTCGTCCTCTCTCGCTCTCTCGTTCCTTCTTTCCTCTCTCGCGCTCTCTTTCTATCTCCTTCTTCGAGCCTAAGCCTCGGTTCTGATTTATATTGGATTGACCCCGGGCGCACCTTTTGCTAGTGCCATTTTCTCGAAATGCTCCCCGGGGGGTGGGAGGGTGGTTTTCGGGGAGCCAACCGACGACAATCAAAGCCGCATTCACGCGCTAGAGGCTACTACTACCTCGCCTTGTAGGCGACAGGAAGAGATTAGGGGAGCGGGGTGAAAGGAGAGGAAGAAATGGGAGGGGAGTCTAGAGAGAAAACACGTCGCGCGAGAAAAGAAGACAGGCCCCGGGACCCGCGCGTTATTTGGAGCACACCTGTCCCCCGTGATCGCGCGCCCCGTTCCCATGTCGCGCGCCTCTCCCCACCAGGACTCGAAATCGCGTGTTCCCCATGAAGATGAGGCTTTCGCGAGGGCACGTTTCGAACATAATTTTCGGGAGAAAAGTTCGCTCGAAGGCAGACTTGGTCAAGGATGATTGCAGAATCGTGGGACCGTTTGAGCTTCGGGGAAAGCGACGAAGAAATTACAGGCGATATAAAACGAGGGAATTGAAGTAAAGGGAAAAATCTTGAAGACTGTGAAGTAACAAGAGAAGAGGCTACAACTCAATGAATACATGAAAAATTGTCCAACTTTCGTATTATCTTCTTTTCCGGGGATTCTCTTCTATTCGATATATCGAATTTTTTGTTATATCTAATTTCTGATTGGCACATCGTAATCGAAAATCAGGGTCGTCATTTAGACGAGTGACTGGCAAGGTAGATTATCTTTCTCGCCAGATAAAAAATTTCATTTTGATACACTCTAAATTATTCAGATCTGCATTCACGGTCCGTTACGTTTTTGCCTGGACACGTCGTCTTTGGTCGTACGTAGACGTGCTAGCCGGGAAGAGTCAAAGTGGAATCTAATTCTCAAGATACGATCCACTCGACGGAGAGTGAAGGGTGTGCGTGTCTCGGGGCGGCTGTGACCGACCCATCAAACTAGAAAGATGACCCACGGTCGAAAGGAGAACAAACGCGAAGGTTGATCGAGAATGAACTGGAAACTCGCGAATCGCGAGCGCGCGACATCTCTCTCTTTCTCTCTCTCTCTCTCTCTTTATCGCACTTTCTTTCTCGCACGCTTATTACGCACGCATGCACGTCGCGATCATTCGGAAGGAGACTCTGCCAGGACATTCGGAACGAGACTCGAAAATAAGGCAGGAACAATGGCGGGGAAACGAGTCCTGCCAACGAGTCCGGGGGTCATTTAAACGGCGGAACACCGAAGCTCCGTCGAGAAAAGGATCCTCGGGGTGGACCCACGGGGTCCGCGCCATCGGGCAGGAAAGTTTGTATAGGACCCACAAGACTGGCCCTTCTTTCACATCCACCACCTTCTCCTCTTGTCCCCCTCCGCCTTCCCCTCCTTAGACTCGCCGTCTTGCAAAATCTCTCCACCTCGTCGGCAGATGTACGCGAGGCACACGCGTGCTCCTCCTTTTTTCCCTTTCGGATCCCGTGGGCCCGCGTGTCGCACGGATCAAAAAGGACTGTCTTACAATTAGACGAGGTTCTAACATCGCTCTCGAGGGCGCACTTGTTCATTGTTCGAGTGAGCGAGCGACCGACAGACCGAACGACCGAACGAACGAACGACCGACCGACCGACCGACCGACCGACCGACCGGCAAGTCGGAAACCCCTCTCGCTTTCCGGACACTCTTCAACGACTCCCGATTCTTTGCCTCCCCTTAGCTTCCCTCCTCCCTCCCTTATTCGCCGCGATTTCATCTCGCGAGGCCGGTCACGTTTTTGCATGGTGATGCCCATGATTTCGCACCGTGAATAAATAAGTACCGTCGTAAGCTCACGCTTCGGGGAATTTAGAAACTCACAACCCCATGGCGTATATTAACCCTCTCTCTATCTCGGCGTTATTGCACGCCAAGGTTATTATAACATAATAATGCGAGCAAGAGCTAAGCGTGCAGATGCTCTATCTTGGACAGCTCTCGGAGTTTTGCGCTGAAATCGCGCGATTGAATAAATTCAAATGGGATGAACTCGTGGATTACGTAAAATCGTTACGGCTTTGTTTAAACAATTATTCTCTCTGCACATTATTAATCATTTCTAGAGAAGGAAATAGGTCAGCCACACCTTGCGCGACGGCTGAATTGTATGAATTTCAATTAATGATCGTCAATCTCTCTCACGCTAATGAAAAAAATTTCCATTTTCTTTTTATCCATTCGACAATGATTTATTCGTGTGTGTAGACCGTCACTCAGCAAGGTAATCGTAAAAAGAAAAGAAACTCTTGAATAACTACTGTATAAAATTCACGTTACTTGTGCAATTGGCTATCTAATCTGTTAGTGGGAGAAATTATCAGAAAAAGTTAAATATCTCTCTCTGAGAATGTTTATATTATGATACATTTATCACTTTTGACAATGTTTATACTATGATACATTTATCAGAGAGAGAGAGAGAGAGAGAAAGAGAAAATAATTGAAGGCGTAGCCCTCTTTAAAAATCGCGAACATTAACACGCATTATAAGTCTGAAAACAACCCCCATGATTTGTCGTATAATTTTAAAAATAATCACAGAAAAATTTGGAATAATTAGTTCAATGCAAACCGTTTAGTGCATATCTCTAATTGAAAGCAATTGCCCGGCAATACTCTGTACAAACGGACAAGTCCCCGGTGGAAGGTATCTTTGATCAATCAACGATCCGTGAAAATTCCCACTAAAAGGCAATTACCGGATGATTTGCATGAGAGCGTGTCATCGTGGTTTCGTGGACTGGAAAAGCGCTAAATAATCGCGCATCTATTAACACGACAAGTAGAAAGAGGCCATAAGTCGAAAAAGAACAAAAAATCGCGAGTGGACGAGGGAGTCAGGAGAAAAAAAATGAACAGAGTGTCGCTCCCCTCTCAACCATGCGTAATAGCCGCAATGTGCAAGCAGGCGCCATTGTTTCACCGGTAACTTTCAGGTCTGATGTGAGCAGGCAAAGTATAACCGTCGAACGATTAAGCGATCGTTTACTCCCTCGAGCGGAAGAGGGTGATGAGATTTTTGCCGCGATCGGGGTAGCCAAGCGCGATTTCTCAATGAAGCGAAAAGCCACTTCTTTTAATCTGAGGAAAGTTACGATTTTTTAGTAGAAGAAACTTCAAGCAGGCGAAATGAAATGTCTTGTGTCAAATATATCAAACCACGAACTCGAATCTATTAAATTAAATAAGAACGAAGCGTGTCGCAACACACATACACATATACACACAGCACCTATAAAAGAAGGAAACACAGTAGACATTTTCTCACAGTTCAAAAGTAAGCGCGCGAGGTCTTCGACTTTACATTCCCCCGTGTTTCTTCGGGAACTCCTTCCCTGCCTCCCACGAATCTTGATCTCTCGTACACCTCGGATCGATCCTCGTGCAAACCGGTCGGCAAAACCTACGATCGCCCCGCGCGACGGCAAGAAAAAAAGAAAGAAAGAAAGGAGAAGACATACCAGACGGGCTATTCACTGCGTCCTTGGCACCAGAAGATTCGGCTAAAACATCCGATGTTGAAACATCCGACGATATGAGTGGTCAACAACGAATCACTTTTTCGGGAGCACGGATCGCGTTCCACATAGCACGATTATTACGACCCGATTACTACGACAATATGCAATCGTCGGTACCGATCCGTCCGGCTGAATCGCGTGAGGAGGTGTCGATAACGTGGCACCTCGACGACTGCCTCTACACTGACGAGGTGGGGTGAGACCCCGGGCCTTATGTAGAAAGGGTCCCTAGGTGAGCCGACGGAACAGGAGAGACCAGCTCGCTCGTTCTCTGTCACCCCATCGCGTATGCCTTGCGCTCCTTCTCTGTTCCACTCGTACCTGGCGCGATTCCCCTTCCACGAGCCCACTACACGCCGGCCAGTCCGCATAGTTCCAAGTGAGCGCTGGTGATCCAATGATCATCGATGTCAAAAGCGCCGGCCGATGAAACCAGAGAAGAATATGCGGGATATTTACATGCAAACAGGTAGAATATCAGGGCCAGTTCGAGAAAAACGACGACAGAATCCCGCGGAGAGACCACAAAGTTTGCTTCGGTCGCATGCCAAGTTGAATGAGGACTTGGACTATTCGGTCAACCGCGAGTAAACGAGGATACCTGGGCATCTATTTATCGTACGAGCGACGACGTCGTGGCCGTTACTTAAAGAAGTCACAAGGATCACTATAGTACAATGAATCTTAAGACGAGCATTCAGATATGGAGGATCTTTTGTAAGCTCCCCCGCACGTGCCAGGAAGGGGCAGGACACCCGACGTTGCCTTCCTTTATCCTCGCATCCGGAAGCTCCAATTACTCGGGCAAATTTGGCCTGTCTTCGCAGGAGGCTGGTCCCTTCCATAGTCCACCTTTCAAGCAGCTTTTATATACGCATAATTCTGATTTAGATTTATTTTGCTTATTCATCGTCGATACATCAAATCGCAATGTCAATATCAAAGTTAGTCCGAGTGTCTTAGAGTGTTGCCCGACTATTTTATTTATTTATTCATCAACAGAAAGAAAAAAACCCTTTAAGAAAAAAAGAGAAGATATATAGTATACATGTATTTAAAAAACAAAATTAAAATAATATACAAATAAAAAATGCGAAATAATCGCTAAAAAATAGAAATTGTAATCAAGAATTGTAAACCGCAGTAATATACGCAGTACAATCCATTAATAACTGAGATTAGCAAAATAAAGTTAAAACTAGAGATTTTTTAAAATCTGCTAACTGTGCAAGAAAGAAATCACATGATTGCAATGAATGACGTATATATGTATAAAATTACATATTTTTGTATAGAATCTCTATGAGATATATTTGGCCGATATTTGGTGTGCGAAATAACGGAATCTTACGAAGAAATTTTATTATTTCAGCAGAGTGAGCAAATATTTTACCCTCGCAGAGATGCGGCTGTTTTTCAACACCAGGCTTCAAGAGTCCAGAAAATATTTCGCGACGGTGGCAGGAAGAGCGGCACGGAACGCCGCGATCGGGAAACCGCAGCGATCGTCTCAAATTAAATGCATGCGGGACAGCTGCGTTTATAGACGTCTGTAGACGCGTACTCGCTTTTATATAGGGTGCTTCCAGGTGTCATTCACGGATCTGTTACTCAGATTGAAGTTGACTTTTCATGAAAATTTCCCTCGATGACGTTTTTTCCTGAGTCGAAATTTTGATCTTGCTTTTTCGATCTTGATATTCCATTTAACGTCTACTCTTTGATATTCCTGCATCAACCTCTTTTGATTTTATTTAACTTACTGACTTTGCCGAGAGGTCCTCTTTAAAATCTATAAGGCATTTTATGTGTTTTCTATCATTTAGAGGTACTAAGTGGGGCTTCAATTTAAATGTGTATTAAATATATACTGATCCTTCAGAATATACAGAAAATATTAGGAAAGTAATTAATTCATTCACTAAAAGTAATTAATTGAAGATGTTAGAAACGTAATTAGAAAGTTCATGTCGCAAGTGGAGCCAAAATTTCGACTCGGATTCGTTCTTCATTGTTTCTCGATCGAAGAGACATAGCTATTCTGACCGTATATTGAACGTTAAATGTACATTTGGCCTGATGCCGGATTTTCAGCTTAATTTGTTACGCACGATGTTACATTAGCTTGAGAAACGGACGACCACGTTTGGCGCTAAATATATTGTTGAGGTGCGGATCTTTGTAACAAAAAATAAAACTAAGCTCTTTGATTAACATTTCTTTTAAATTTCAATATTTATATTACGTAATATATTGCACTTAATGGTACAAAAATATTTAATATCGTAGTCTAGATTCAAAGATATTTCATGTATGTGAAGAAAACCTGAAAGAGACGCGAATTATCGCGGGAATAAATGCGCCACTGTATATGTACACTGCCGAGAGCCGATTGTACATTACACGAAGGTCGATGAGGGATCGCGGGATCGGCAAATAAAATTTTTGTTATTCAGAAGCGGGCCGTATTACGACGCGACCACAAGGCCCCGCATCCTCGCGATTCATAATTAGAAACGGTTTGCCCCGGGCGCGAACGTTTACGAACACAAAGAACTCGTTCATCTAACGCGCTATCGACTGTTACACTCGACGTCTTTTCCGAAGCCCGTGCGAGACGGGATGAGCGTCGTCCTCGGTGCAAAGCATATGCTGATTGTTGAGATATCTCGATTGCTCATGCACGAAGAAAACACTAAGGAAATCACTTGTCTGAATATGATGGCCACCACAAAATATTAATGTTATTTTTGCCCATTCACATAAAATTTTTATAGTAACCATAGTTCTCTGGAAGTGACATACTGGTTTTCTTTGTTGCTTGTTCATACGTCTTTCAACGATGCTCTCAATACTGTATGACGTAACCTTACGGATCTATCATGTGTTCTGTTGACCACAACAAAGAGACAGCAATATTCCTTTGGGCAACTATACATGAGAATGCACTAATTGAACGTTGCGTATCATAAGAATTATGAAAACTATACAGGCGGGCATGTAACAACAATTTTTAATGCAATATCTATTTAATCCATTGACAGGAGTTTGATAGACTTCCAATGAAATAAAAAAAGCTATTGCTGTTTTATTCCCACTTAAGCATATACACATCGCATCCGTCTATCTTTTCTTTGGCCCGTAAGATACGAAGTGGCGACAAGAAAAGACGTTTCGCACACTTTCTCAGATAATTATCAAACTTCGGAATATTTTTGTAAATCTGTGTCAGTGTTTAAGGATTAAAATCGTATAAATTTTCTCTCTAACTGTAAAGGATGTGGATGTAGCAACCATAGCAGTTTTCTCCGTGCAGTTGCATGAAAATCGCACCACTTAAATTTCTAGAACGACAAATCGCTCGATCGATCAACGGGGTCCGTTTTTTTATGTCAAAAAGCTAAAGCGTTTCTTCATATTTCTCGCAGGAGGATTTTTCAGGGTTCAAAAGGGCGGATCTCATTTGGGCGAAGATCGTTTATTCTGACGAAAAATTGCGAAGGGAAGTCGCATGTACAGAGGACCGTTCTCTGTTCGATATAAATGCCTGTCAGGCCCGCGAATTAAATCGACGCGCGATAATTCGAAATTGACCGACTGGAAATGATTCGGGAAAAAATTGTCTCGTGAGCAAAAAAGAGAGCATGTGTGGCATCTGCGCGATGACTCCTTTTCGTCCTGTTCTTTCAGCCGACCTTTGTTAAAGTTGCCCACGGTACTCCGGCTGGTTAAATCAGCCAAATTCAAGTGCGATTTCTCACGTTCAGAAGAAACCTCCGAAGTAACGCTACGATTAGCTGCACGTGACAATTTTTTCATTCTATTTTAATGAAATATATTTATCTCTATGTGAGTCGAGGATGATGACGATGTTTAAAATGTTGAAATAGCACCTCGAAATCATTACTTTTCGCATTCTTTACATTTTTAGCTTATTATTTTTTCTTTACCTATCACCCCTTACGACCCAATCGGTCTAGTACAAGTAAAATTTGCTTTTTCATAAAATAGTCTTAAAAAACACTCCTGATGATTTTTGTGGTCGGGACAAAATTGACTGTAAAATACGATATTTTAATTGTATCTAAATATATATATTCATGTTTGCACGTGTGCCTCAGCTAAAGAATTTAATAAATTTTATAATATAACAAAATAAATATAAAAGTCTCAACCTTTCTCTATTTCAAGGTGACATCGATAAAAAATTGAAAAATAGAATTTGCTTACTCTTCTTCGTAAAAAATTGTATGCAATTGCCTTTCTTTGTTTCATTTTCCTCGTTATATTTTATTTAGTCGATCGATAAGAAGATCGAAAGATCTTCAGCAGGGAAATAATTAGGCGCTCCAAACTTTTATTCAAAGGCGAGGAGAAATTATAAATCACTTACTCAACATGAACTTATGTGACGTCTACGTGCACGTCGTATACATTACTCGGATATAAATATTCATACTAGAAATAACGAGCACACCGGGAAATATCGTCTTTACGTACAGTATCGGTGTATATATGTGCGCGCGCGTGTGTCACCGCGAATTATCATTTATTAAATTCGCATGCTACGTGAGCGCGGCTCATGTAAATAAATGCATACCGGCCGGCCGAAACGACAGTAAGGGCAGCTGCGCTTAGGCTTTCATCGCGAAAACGATTGACATCGATTCGCGCGGAGCAAACACGAGCCTTCTCAACAACAAATTTCTACGATCGGAGCAGGTGCGAGGTAACGACGGAGTCCTTGCACGGCGTGCGGGCAGGTGACAGCGGTTTGCGCGGTGAGATTAAAATTTTAATTACATGAAAATCAATTTAACCGAAAGCGCGGCCGAACCGAACCGCGGAGAACACCGTCACAACTACCAGGAAAAGCGAGCATGAAAACACATGTGATTGATGTTGGAACATATCATTTAATCTCTCGTTCCTTCGCTTATATTAGATTAGTGCGAAAGATTTATCGTGTTGATCAAACAGAGTCGAGGACTAAATTATTTCGAGGGATTAATAATGTTTACGGATAAAATAAACAGTATATTTTTTTAGATATTTAACGAAGACTTTTTAGTACCAGGACTTAATTAATTTTTTTTATCCTTAGACTTCTTGTGGGAATTTAATAGAAAATGTCTCGCACAAATTTAATACATACAATCTATACACGCA